CTGTCTTTTGTAAAACACTTATTTTAATATGATGCCCTATTTAACTGCCATTATACCCCCTTTTATTTAAAAAGCATTAATGATTTAATAAAACATAAGGAACTCCATGTGTTTAAGAACTTTTGACCAATAACGCACCTTCATGAGCAGATTTGGGGCTGACATTATGATGGAGGTGTTTGGTGACTATGCTCTCTGCGTCACGTGGTCCAGACGATGGTCACTGCGGTTGCCAGGATACCACCTCCTCCTCCTCCTCCTCCTCCTTCTCCTCCACCTCCTCATGTGACTTCCAACCTTTCCAGAGGTGGCAGTGTGGCTCTATCAAGGTTAAAATGCGCAGAGACGAGAAAGATCAGAGCGAACACAAAGAAGCACCATCTGATGAAGATAGTGTCTACAAAACTTTTTTTTTTTCAATTAATTTGGGAAGGTTAAGATTGACTCATGATGAAGATATTAATTAATGGCATGCAAATGAAAATCTGTGTCAGTTTCATCCTCGCTCATTTCTCTTGTGTGGCTTCTTTGCCATCCATCTGTTGCTCATTTCCTTTTATTCTGGTCCAATCCAGTTCGTGTTGCCCACAGTGTGTGTGTGTGTGTGTGTGTGTGTGTGTGTGTGTGTGTGTGTGTGTGTGTGTGAGATGTGGTTTGGAGTAATACACAACACAGCCATAGAGCCTCAGACAAAAATGAAGAAAACATGAACAATGGCGGAATGATATGAAGGAGCGTTTGTGTGTACAAATACTTTACACAGACATTACATAACAGCAATTTTCACATTTGTCCTTTTTTCAGGCTGTGCATGACAAACCGGCAAGTCCTATTTTAAAGGTGAGGCATGTGATTTATTAGTTGCAGCACATGGAGTATTTCGGGCTGTATTTCTTCAAAAGTCTAAGAATAAGACACCTCATGAACCCTGTGACATCACTCACACATTCATAAATTGAATCCTCACTAAATGGGCCATATATGGGAAACGTGATTTGATACAAAAAAAACAAAGATAAAAAGAGTTTTTATTCCAAAAAAGCATGAACAGCATGTAGCAGGGATAAGTTAGCTTGATAAGTTAAATGGCTGAGTGTACACCCTGCTTAGAACACTGCACTTTACTGTTTAGTCGTCATTTTGTCTTTTTTTTTCTCTCTGTGAGCTTTGTAGGCATCACTAAATGTAAATTAGCTGCACCGTGAATGTGTCCTCTAATTAAGGCTGATTGGCATTTATTTTAATAAATCAGGGGTATATATAGGTATAGGTATTATAGGTAAATATAGAAGTCTGTTCAGCTTTCTCCGGGTCTTGTGTGCACGAGTACACCACAGTTGTGCAAAATGTCATCCACTGCGGCCCAGCTGTTCTCATAAACCATTTTGATGGACTTTATAAGTGAGCAACAGTTCACGCTGAATTTTATCATGATTAAAACCCATCGCTCCTCTAGTAAAATTCTCTCAGCTGCCTCCTTTCGGCCTGTCCTATACCGAGCTGGTGTTCTTAATTTCCATCTTTTTGAACCTTATAAGAGCGTTTCCCAACTCTGGTGCCTTATGCCACCCCAAAAAATTCACATTTTCCTGTTTCCTTCACCCATTTTAAACTCATGTTCTAATATATTATTGTTTCTATAGTAACACCTAATTCACAGAAACCTGCATGGCAGATGCTCCACATAAAAACGTGTGTAATTGTTGATATGGTGAAGTTTTCTATAAGGAGATGTTCATTTAACATTGTTGGAAGGAGACACCAGTGACAGAGCTTCGTAACAGTCAAAGGTAAAGCTGTCAAGTTAAGTATTTCGACATGACAATGTTTTCAGGATGGAGGATATTGTACTTTGTGGTAGCCTAACAAGGTTTTTTTTTTGTCTCATTAACTTCAAGAGAGAAAAAAAAAAGAGAGGCTAAATGTAAAGAAAGTCCAATGGTATATAACATTTGAGGTTTGTGATACAAAGTGAAATCCCAGCCTCCTAGACTATATCTCTTCACTACACTTCTCAGTGATGTGTTTCAGCATGACTCTCATATTCTCCCTGCCTCTCCACTGGGATCTTTAGAAAAGTGGGTCCAGCCGTCTGGCACCTTCCAGCATTCTGTCGTGGAAAGTTCCTGTTTGCTCTTGTTTTGGTTCCCCCCCCCTGCTCTGGCTCTGCCATGACTCCCTGTAATTATTGCTCTCATTTGTCTGTAGTTTGTTTCAGCTGGGTCTCATTTATGTGCTTGCACCTCTGTTTTTGTTTGTGCTGTCTTCCTGAAGTCTTGCTGGTGTTAACAGCAATTCTAAGCTGCGGTTCTAACTGACTTTTCCACCACCACGCTGCCAGCTAACCTTTTTAAAGCCCAGACTGAGAGCAAAATCGATTAGATGTGTCTGAATCTAGACCTAAATTTCTGTAAATCTGACTACTGAGACTGTCTATCTACAAAATATAAATACAGTTGAATTGAATGTGGGAGTCTCCTGAAGCAAAACATAAAAAATAATAATAATTGTACAGGATTTTACAAGTCGCTTACTTCTGGCTTTAAGAACATATTTCACTATCCTTCAGGGTCTCCACAAAGCACAGAGACATTATCATAGACAATAATGGCAGATGTTTTATTCCTTTTAGCCACTCAAATGAAGTTTAGTTAGCATCAGTAATGTACCTACCATTAAGTGTGTTGTCATTGACAGTAAAATTGCCACTAAATTGCCTGCTCAAAGCCTCAATCCATTCATTTTTTCTTTTTTAACAGTAAATTTCAAGCTGATTGTCGTATGTAAATGGTAGTCTAGTAAAATTCTCAAACTGCTTGATTTATAAAGGCCAGACGAGGCACATTTTGCTGACTGAGAACCAAATCTTATGGAGTATTAAGTATTAAACACTTCCAGATTAGGAACTGGCATCAGTATCCGCACTGGGATGTTATTTAGCATTAGGCTTAGCAATGTAGTGCCCACTGATATTTTGTAATTGCCACTAAAATATTATTTCCTCCCCAAACCCTCAATCCATAGATTATTGGTTGCAATATAGTTTTATTTTCCCTGGTCAGGGTTGAGGTGGATCCAGAGCCTATCTCAGAAACACTGGGTGCGAGGCAGGAACATGCCCTGAATGGGACGCCAGTAAATAGCCGTGCACCAGACACATTCATACCTTATGGCATGTTGTTGGGAGGTAGGAGGATAGTGGAGAACCCAAAGGAAATCCATATGAACACAGGGAGAACATACGAAACTTGAACTTGGATGTGTGAGGTGGCAACGATGCCCTGTGCACCACTGCGGCCACTCCTTCCAAGCTGATTATGTCTCATTAAAGAGGAGGACAAGTAAATTTCTCAAATTCCTTGAATTATAATGGCAAGATCCATTCACATTTTGGTGAAGGATCTGACTTCGCTAGCCAAGAACCAAATCTTTTGGTGTAATCTTTCATGCAGTTATAGACACCCCCATGACCTAAATTCCACATAGCAGCAACAAACTGGTGATGGAACTGATCCATTTTTATTTGGTTATCGATGGCTCTTTTCTGCCATGTGAAGGAAACTGCTTTAAAACCAGCACCAACGCTTGTTGTGGAAAAGGATTATATGTCACACCCTTGACCAATCCACCTTCCACTCTCCACTATTCAGTGTTGCTTGGCTACAGACCACTGACTTCACCTTATATTCAGATAATCCACTGAATAATAATCAAGGATTCATATGTGCTGATTTTCACATTTATATTAGTTTGTATCCTTCCTTTTTTAGGATTACTTTTTGAAACGTGTAATAACACTAACAAAGTCTCAGTGGTACTCTGAAGAGGTGGGGTGGTGGATTCGCATATAAACCACTCACACACCATGGACTTGTGAAGTCCTTCGAGCTCACACAAGATATTGAGTCGTTGTTTGTGGTTAATAGTGTGCTATTCTTCATTGTGGATCTCTACCTGATTCTCAGTTTTATGCTTTGCTTGTTTGCATAGTTAAGCTTGCCTTTTGGGTTCCTGAGTAGCTTCCTGTCAGGAGATCATGGGCTCAAGTCCCGAAGATGCCACAGCGCTTTCCTCTAGCGCTTTCCTCTAGCGCTTTCCTCTGACCGTGTTACATTGCCCTGTGATGCAGCATGAGCAGTAGTCTGAAAAAATGTAGTGGCTTCAGGGGTCTCGGAAGAAGCTCGGAGTGCTAGTTATTGGGTGGAAATTGGCAATCTGGGAGAAAATGGGCTACGATAAGTGAAAAAATGATTAATTTATCATTAATCACTCACTGCTGCTGAAGATGGCCCCGCATGGATAGCCTATACAGAAGATCAGCATGGGTTTTCTGTGGATGGTACCGCGCACACCCATAAGATAGCTGTGGATGTTCTTTCAGCAATTGCTAAGAACAGTTTACACTCAAGTCTCCAACATTGAACAGTTAAAACTCTAATGATGCTCATACTCAAGTTCCTTTAACACAAACACAACACTGCTTGACCTTATAGTATACAGTTATAGAAGTGGAATGATTTATACTTATACACTATCAGATATCACCCTGATGAGGATGGGTTCCCTTCCAAGTCTGGTTCCTCTCAGGCTTTCTTCCTCTTCTCACCTTAGGGAGTTTCTCCTTGCTACCGTCACCTCTGGGTTGCTAATTAGGGACAAACTTAAATCCAAAATTTTATATCCTGATTTCTGTAAAGCTTCTTTGTGACAATGTCCATTGTTAAACATGCTATGCAAATAAAACTGAATTCAATTAATTGATTGTGATTTGAAACCAAGGGTATTGACTTTGTCAAAGTCCATAGCAGGGATCGAAACACTGGCAGACAGTAACAAACTAGGATAATGCATAATCATAAGACAGTTTATGGGTCACCACAGCAGATCACCTTCCATGTATTGATTTAACACAGGTTTTAGGCCAGATGCCCTTCCTGACACAACCCTCCCCATTTATCCAGGCTTGGGTGGCTGGGCTTAGCACCAGTGGCTAGAGCTGGCACCCAGCATGAGGCTCAAACCTACAATCCTGAGATCAAGAGTTGCATGCTCTACCAACTGAGCTAGCCTGGCACCGAGGACATGAAGAATAGGTAATGGACAAAACTAGAAAGAACAATGACATGCAAAACTCAGAGCAAAGCTTGGGCTTAACAACACAATAAAGACTTTGAAAAGAAACAAAGAAACAGCAAGGTATATACAGTACAGACAAACTAATTAAGGACTAAACACAGAACAGGCGAACAGTGTAGGGTAACAGACCAATGACTGGACAGGGTGGAGAAACAAAACTATGGCAGATAGAAATGTAAACAGAAGCGCATGACGTGAATCCAAAGCCAAAACGACCCAAGAAAGGGAATTTGTCATTGTCATTATTGATTGACGATAACCACAATGATTGGAAATGTCTAAACAATGAGATATATTGTATTATGTATTACTCCAAATAATATGATCATATATAGTTTTACTCTTTCTCTTAAATGGAAAGGATGATCCATACATTTGTGTCTGCTTCTTCCTCTATCCTCCTCAGGTGAGTGGACAGAATTTATCTCAGTATCATTCAGACTGGGGTTGTGTGTGTGTGTGTGTGTGTGTGTGTGTGTGACTGTGTGTGTGTGTGCATGCTCTGGCTGATGCTGTCAGAACTGTCCTAATTGTTTAATTGGGTTGTGGAGAGTAGGATCTGTCAGCTGCAGGGTGAATCATGTTTACAAGGCTCCCACTGGCGTGATGGGGTGATGGCAGGAGAGCAGAGTGATGAGGCCAATGGCAGCCAAGCTGGCATCTGTCGTCTGGGTCGTGGCTGATGGAGGGGAGGCCTCAGGGGCTGATTATAGAGCTATCTCTCTTTTTCTCTCTTTGCCTCTTCGGTGCCTCTATATAGTGGTTTCTATGCTCCTGCCTTATCATTTTCCAATTTTTGTATAAGCAAATTTGTTGTGACTTGGTTTTGACAGAACAGCTTAAGATGTGATAAAGAGAATATGGGATAAATAATGATGGAAAAGAATTATGAAGTTAATTATGATCTATTAAGTGTGTGTTCCAGTCTTTCCATCACATATATATGATGTATATATGTTTGGCTGGCTCTTTTTTAATGTCAGTCTTTTGTTTCTCTTAAGTACAGTATATATGTGTAGCGTCTGCAGGCGAATTCTGGAAAACAGCCATAAATAATGACCAAAAACAAAGATAATATACTCTGACATGGCTATTTTAAGAAAATATACATATATTTTACCAAAATAGAATATGAAATTTTTTGTTTAGCCTACTTTCTATCCTGTATTTCTAACCTATTTTTTGAAAACAGTAGTTTTTGGCCTGTTTTGTCCAGATGAGCGTGGCATTTTTGGTCACTGAACATAAAACTTTTTGAAAATGCCCTCAAAGGCAAAGATATTTTAATATTCCAGTTTCACAGTTTTTCACGTGGTTGGGAAAAATGCATTTTTAAAGAAAAAAAACCCCACTGAGATCAGAGCGTGAACCTGCGCATGCTCATTGTGTTGCTGCGAGTGTTATGAATGTGTTAGGACTCTGTGTATTTTGGCTGCCATCCAGATGGTTACTTTGTGGTCTGTAATTTCTTATTTGATAACGTGTTTGAAATTTGAATTCGTGTTGTTTCATTAACCTTCATGTGGGGGCACACACTCAAAATATGATATGCACTGTACTGCTCCTAAATCCACCGCTCTGGTGTTACAAGATTTTTGATAAGAGCCAAGTGAACACTTTGTATTCAAGTGTAACACATGTGAATCTTTGTATTGTATCTTTTTTATTTTCGTTTTTTCTCCCATGTTAGTGTTTTTTTATTTTACTTTTTGACTTCTCTACTGCTCAGTACGCAGCTCTTAAAGTTGTCCTTGAGATGTTTGACATAACAATTTATGACATACAATCGCCACCTACTGGGTTGACTGCTCATGTGAGTGTTTTCAAATCGTTTTTGTTTTTTTATATGGACAGACAGGAATTTTTGAAAATCTAGGTGTAAAAATTACATTTTTAAAAATATCCAGATCCTTAGCTAGCAAGGTTTTGGGCATCTTTCAATGGACTGACAGTTTTTACCGCCACAATACAATACAAGATCTTTGCTGGAAGAAAGCCTAGGCGAAACTGGAAAGTAAATAAAAAACAAATCCATGTTAGTTTGGTGAAAAAATAAAGTTTCTTAAAGTTGAGGTGTCAAAATGAAATCAGAATTTTTTCTTTTTGGCTGTTTGACAGAATTTAGCTACAGCAATATCCAACAGGCTTTCCCAAGCCATCACAAACAGTATCACAGTAGCTGATCGAAAAATACAGAAATGTGTTTCTTTTGTTGCCAAGTTTCTAGAAACTCACTTCAAATTTCCCAAATATTTGAATGGAAACTTTATCTTATCCATTCCTCACTCACTTTCCCCTCGTAGATATACTACTCTTCGTTCTCTCCCTCTCTCTGCTAGTGGCATGTAGTGTTAAAGTCAGTAACTAGCACAGCCTAGGGGGAAAATCAAAGCAAACTCTCTTTCCACACCCCTCTTCCTCCTTCCTGTTTCTGTCTCAGTGTCTGAGATGATTCTGCTGGACACCTGTCAGAAATGTCACACATTTAGTTGAAACTCTCACACTGCCATTTCTCATCCAGACTCACACTCTTGTTAAATGCTGGCGTGGGTTCGGGTTTAGCAGTGAAAAAGTTTTTCTACCACATCTCATGCATATGAAATCTGAAGGCAGATGTCTAAACTAAAACTCCTGCTCCAGATAATCAGGGAATTTCTTCAGACTTGATCAAGGTGGGATCAGAAAAGATTGTTAAATGATAACAATCATTTGTTAAAAGAGTCTTTACACACACACACACACAAACACACATGCAATTCTACAGGCTATTCTCTGGTTATGTGTACTCTGGAACTTCATACATAAGAAATAAAACACTTGAGGGTGTGCTGTTATAGAAAAGTAATCAATGACAGGGTGATGTGTTTCCTGATAGTGCCAAAGGTACACTGAACTACACTACCCATCAGCCCCAGCATGTCACACGTCTCAAGCACCCTCAACTGTGTCTCGTGATTAACACCTCTATATATATATATATATATATATATATATATATATATATATATATATATAGTTTCCTGGTCTGGCTGGACCCATCTCCCACACTCCCTGCCCCACAGAAGACACCACTACAGATCACAGCCTCACCATGGGTGTCACTCTATCTCCCTGCTGTGCCTCTGACGTCACCACTTCAAACGTCGCTCTGCCTCCCTGTTCCGCTGAAGACGTCACTCCCCCTCTGGCCTTGTGGACGACAGTCGCCCACCCCCTCCACCCCCGGCTCTGTCTTGAACTTCGCTCTCCTCCGCCGGCTTTGTGGTGGCTGTCCCTCCGCGATCGTGCTCCGCCCTGGACGTCACGCCACTCTTCATTCATATCAACAGTTACACGTTTTTTAAAATTTCATTGTGTGGAGCGTCCACCATACAGAACCCAGAGAACTTTGTGACTATAGTATTGACAATGTATTAGATCAAGCACATTAACATCAACCCCTGTCGGGGCTGCTGTTATAGAAGATTAACACCTTCTGACCAATCAGAATTGAGAATTCAACAGCGCTGTGGTAAAATAGTGTTTCTTTTACTTAAAAGTAAAAAAATAGGATTGGTTTGTAAAATGCTCTAAAAAGAAGTGTTAAGATCATTAATTAAAAGCTCCTATGGGATGCATAGGAGAAGGAACACCTCCCTACAACACAGCAACACATTTACAGCTGTGTGTTCATGACAGAAAAAAGTGCTCTGTAACTTGCCACATTATAACATATGCCTGGCAGCAGGTTCATGCACAGACATATTTAATAGAAAATAAAAGAACTTTTCAGAGCCAAACAGTGGCAGTATGAGGGAATCTTGAATGATGGCGCAGCTGCAGGCAATTCCCTGGTCACTGGGTTCATGACTGCACTGCAGGCCTTCAATTTTCCTCCAAAAGCCCTCCAGAAGCTATAAAATATGCACATTATATACACCAACCAAGAGGCTGAGGAGAAAATGTAAGATCCTAAGTTCAGCATTATTAGAAGATCATTAAAAATGTAATCAGTGACAAACAATTCAGGATCTCGTGAACTTCATGTCACTCTGAAATGTCATGGCATTCCTCAACACATATAGCCAAGCAACATCCAACCTACTGTACATTTCTAAGAACTTGTGGCATGCAAAAATAGCAATGCAGATAATGATAAACATGTGCAGGCTAGGGACATGCCTCATAGCCCTATGTGAGAATTAATTTCAGCCTACATGCCAAACTCATAAAACATAGATGGTGGGTCATGGGTAGGTGGAACGTGAGTGCTAACACTGACACTGTGGATAAACACGCGAAGACTCAGTGGTCTGGAGCAGGTGGCAGATTTATGATGGTGGTTGTATATTGTGGCAGTGACTTCAACACGCCTGGGCATCTGATGGCTGATCGTACATCACGGCCAGACTGAATCCATCTTCAGGGCTTTGGCCTGGGAGAATCTGGACTACAGTCTGAGATTTGGAAGCATATTTAGTCAGTTGTGTTAGTGTGTAAAGATTTGATAATAATTTAAATTCAATTCAATTCAATTTTATTTGTATAGCGCTTCCAACAATGGACACTGTCACCATGCAGCTTTACAGAAATAAATGGATTCACAAAAATTATATTGTAAATATGTGAATTTATCCCTAATGAGGAAGCCAGTGGCGACGGTGGTGAGGAAAAACTCCCTGAGACAGTATGAGGAAGAAACCTTGAGAGGAACCAGGCTCAAAAGGGAACCCATCCTCATCTGGGTGCAACAGATAGTGCGATTATAAATAAATCCCTTCTATTATTGTGTACTATAAGGACAAATAGTGCAAATGTGCAACCAGTAAATTCATCACAGTTTCTGCAAGAAGTCCGGTTGGTTAAAATCTATCCACTGTCCACTGATGGAGTCCTGAGTGTGAAGCTGCTCGTGGCAACTGCAGCCCCAAAGCCACCACAGCAATCGCAGTCCCAAG